TGATATGGCAGCATTGCTCCCATGACCGCGCCAACGGTTGCACGTTTCTTGGCTTCTCCTGGCAATGCAAAGTTGACGAGACGGTCATCAAAGCCTTGGCTCCAACTCCTGAAGTGCAAGGGGCACAGATGTGCCAAGAACAGCCTGGCAAGCCGCCACTCAGCTCGGCATCCTCCCGGCACACCCTGGAATGCAGCGACGCACCCGCAGAAAATCCTGGCTCTTGAAGCATCGGCGTATGGTCAGCACAAGTCAAGCTGATCTGCAAGGCTCGAGATCTGGACGTCTTGAGCTGCCAGCAATGGCACCGCAAGGAAGCGGCAAACAGTGCTGAAGCAATCTCCAGGACGCTCTGCAAGCTAAAAGCTTGCAAGACATACCGCAACACGTTGCAGGGACGTGCTGGGACAGAGCCAGATAGAGAGTGGCGGTGGCAATTTCTGGGATAACACGCCTTGTTTACCAGACAGCCCTCCCAAAGACTAGACAGCCCTCCTCGCACCATTAGCCCGAAAGACAGCTTCTTGCATGCAGTGCCTGTGGAAAGCGTGAGCTCGTGACTCGCAACGGGCAGCCAAATGCACGGTACACTAGGGCAGAAGCTCCAGACAAATGGCTTCTGCGACAGTTTGTTGGGAACGGGATGCTCGTCAAGCATTGAGCAGAATGCAGATGCGTGGCGGGGTGAAAGCTGCTCAGCTTGCATGGCTGGTTGTGATGAATTGGCCCATGACCGTTGCTGCAATCCAAGATTCCGGCACATGATTTCCGCAACCAGGACAAAGTTAACCTGCACTAAGCAAGTCCAAGAGAAACTCAATGCCACCAAACATCGAGACTTTTCGAAGCATTTGCTATCGCAAATGATGCATATGATACAAGTCAAAAGCCTGACTGCCCCTCCTATAGAAAAACCCTACAAAGCTTTCACGTTGTCGCCATAGGCAGTGTATCGCAACAGGCACCCATAAACCCAAGACCCTAAACTCAAAACATCTCGAAACCCTAGTTCAAGAAGCACAGTAGCCTGAGGAAGAGACAAGGCCAATTTGCGTCAAGGGGCAGACAGCAAGTCTGCCATGTTGCCGGTATCTGTAGTCGTCCCCATACCAAAGCCGGGCCTGCCGCACAACTGTTGCAAACCCTGTCAGTTCAAGCTGATTGATGTAGCTGGAAATAGCATCTGGATGCATGTGGGTATTTGTGTAGGTGTATACATATACATACTATACGCATGCATATGAAAAACTTAGTATATGTGCGTGAGTGTGTGAGCTGGTGACACGCGCAAACAGCACGACCTCATTGCCTTCAGCTCGACCGCATGGCAACCAGCACAACTACAATGGTCCAACATAACGCAACTCACTCCGGTGGAATGAACAAGCGGCACCCATCAGAATCAGGGTATACGGTGTATAAGGTTTGCGGTTTGGGCTTTTTGGGCTTACTGATTCAAACTAATTGACCGAAACCCCCACGTCTTGCCCACTACGCTTGAAGGCCCTAAACCCCAAATCGTAGAGAAGAGCTTGTTGATGTTTATTGGGAACGCGAAATCCTGAGCCGCAAGGGTTCAGCGTTTAGGGGTTTAGGTGTGCCCTCTGTTCAATTTCCCAAGATGCTGTATGGGTACCTGAACTGGCATCGCCCAGCACCCGCCTTTGCGCATTCCAGCACTGCTGAAAGACACAGAGGGCATCGCCCAGCTTGAGCCAAAAAGAACATGTGGGGGGCACCTCTCTATGGCCAACCTTGCGGCATAGAATGAGTCCTTCAAAGAGGCTTCGGCATCCAGCAATGACCAAGCTGAGCAGTGAACAAAGTCCTGACGAGCTTGCATTTATGCAATTGCTGGTTGTTTAGCGTGAATGTAATGTATCCGCCTGACTGCAAGTGGCCATCAGCAGAGCATGCGCAAGCTACCAAAGCTAGGCGGCCGCAGAGCCAGGCAGCTTTTTGGCGTCGGAGCACGCAGATTCCAAAATGCACGGCAACCTCTCGATGTCTAAGTGCAGCAATATGAACCCCACTTGAGGGATGAGTCCCCTCCACCTTGTTGTGGCCTTTGTTGAGGGGAACAGTTGAGGACCCGAACTACCAGGTAGCCCTACTCTGGGTATTTGCGGCTTCTGGGGGTTCCTTTTGGAGGTTCATAGAAGCCGGGTCGACATAGCGGCCCCTGTTGATGCGCATTTAGCTGGAGGCCCCAGTTATGAGCGGAGTGGCAGCTTCTGGGGGCCATGTTGCGACTAGCTGTTAGGGCTTGGCACACATCTTCTGCGAGGCCGATTATAACTGGAAAGGGCCGGGACAAGTCCAAAGTACCACTCTCACATGGTCGGTGCTTCCCATCTGGTCTCGTTGGTCGACCTGTTGAAGTAGTACCTGGCTGAGGTCATCGCATGGTCTCACACTTACCCCAGAGCTACAATAATCAACACTTCACATGCTGCCCTGCTCTGGTCTGTTGGTCCAGAGTCGCCGCATCTTTTTCATCCGAAGACCGATCTAGCCCTCCGAAAAGACCAAGAGCAAAGCAAGAGCACACAGATCTCACCGCCACGAATCATCAAGTCAGAGACAGAGTTTATGTGCAGAGCAAAGACGACACCGTGCGAGTGCACAACCCCTAAAACATCAAAATCCTAAACCCCTGAACTCCAAACCCTCAACGCTACACCCCAAACCTTCCAACCCTAAACCCCTAAACCCTACACCACCCTTAAAGCCCCCTACAACCCTAAGCCCTCTCAAAGCCACGAGCAGAAACCGGGCCAGCTTTGCCCCGCTGTTGGGATCGATTGCCTGCTCCCAGCCCGGCAGCGCGGAGCCCCCGCCTTGCATAAAGCAGGGAATTTAGGGTTTACGGCTTGTGGGGTTTGTGGGGTTTAGGGTTTTAAGGCCTTAGGGTTTATAGTGTTCAAGATTTCGGGTTTATGGGGTTTGGATGGGTTTGGTGTGTAGGGCTTAAGGGGTTCATGGGGCTGGGGGCTGGGGGCCAAGTCATCAAGCACCACCAAACCCCGGTATAGCTTTCTCATGTCCAAACGCTTGGACTGCTGCGTGATCCGCTTCTGCTGCTCTATGATGCGACGCAGCGCGTCCTCGTCGTGGATGTAGTCCTTCTCGGGGTCCCATGCAGAGTCTTTGTCCACGGAAGGTGACATGAGATACATGCGGGAAAAGCAGCCCCTATACTGCTCCAGAATCATTGAAACGAGGAGCACAGTGTCTTCCCTGTGCGACTCGGGCCGATCAGCACTCCATTGGCCGGTAGCTTGGGGACCACTGGGTCGCGGGGCTGCTGCACGTTGAGCTCTGCCGTCGGGAAGAGCCTGACCTTCCACATGCTTTACCCACAGGGCACTAGCGCTCGAAGCATGCTGCTGTATGGATTGCTGGGGCAAACCAAAAAACATTTACATATGGAAATCTAGGAGGCGATGAATTACCTTTATGCTATACAATTATCCTGCCCAGATAACCCAAGTGGATGTATGGTATTCAGATTTCCACATGGGAAAATAACCCATCTATTCAATGGTTTGATATAGTAGTGGTTTAGCTCACTTATTTTTCAAGACAAACTTCTACTTCAATCCCCGATATCAAACAAGGTCTTGCCCACATAACCCAACTGCATTAATGGTATATGGATTTCCGGTCTAGCGGCGTACCTCCATGTATGTAATATGTATGCTTGTGTTGGATGGGTCAAGATATCCATCCTCAAACCTAGAAAGCACCTCCGTTTCTTTACGCTTACTACAGATCTAGACCTAGTCTTGTTTTCACAATGTCCGCAAAGGTGCCTTTCGTTTCAGGCCCATGTTCTAGCGCAAACTTCGTGTCGATTTCATACATTTTGGCGGGCTAGCGTACAATATCAATAGGGCTGCTCTTGTATATTTTCTTGAAGAGGCAAAAATGTACTTTCTAGAGAACATAGACTTGCTTATACATAAGCCGTTATACGAATTTCTATGGTTCTATATGTCTCGCAGTTTGACTAAGGAGATCCAACGATCCTTTTCATAAGATGCAGTGGCCAGTGGATAATAGGAGTGGGGTTAAGGTCGCCAAAGTCAGGGCTAGAGTACGGGTACCGTGGATGGCAAACATCTTGGATGACCCGAAGTAGTTGAAAGCTTGGGAAGTATGGTAGTCCAATAAAGTAAGGCCATGCAAGACTGGTAATCAACTGTATGGTCTTACTGTATGGTGCAACCACGGCGACCTCCGACAAGTCAAGCTTGACGCCATCCAAACTCTGCAGAGCATCCCAATGTTAGATGTTTGGGATGGAATGTGCCAAGACCTCTGTGCATGTACGTGGATACGTTGCTGCCACTGCATGTTGTCCAGTCATGCCCTTGTCCACTTCATCCTGCTTGGATTGGTGCAGAAGCTATAACCTAAACTAAACTACTAGTATAAGCCCTATATAGTCCCTGCAATACTCCTTTCAGGGAGTTTAGACTGCAGCTCCACTAGCGTGTTGGGAATTTGGCATGAACTTACGCAGAACAATTCCGCTCTACATCATGGCAAAGCTGCAAGCATCTACCAACGTGGGCCGCGGCTTCTGCAATGTACCTCCGGGCTGTTGGCTGCAGAAACACCCTGCGAAATGCACAGACCAGCCGCTGCTTACCTTGATACTGCAGGCAAGTGAGCATGTTCAATCAAGGCAAGCTGTTTTTTGTCTCGGGCACGACTAGGTCAGCCAAGTTCTATAAGTTCATGGCGAGATCGTAAATAGCGACGCATGCCATCCGGCAGCGGATGTTGGCACGTTTCAAATAAAGCTGGCGTTTACCACCATCTGCTTCGCAGAGGTATGTCTTTCAGCTGCCGCCACGTTTCCTTGCATATGCATATATGGAAACGGCTGGCAACACATCACAAAATGGCGTCGAAATGCTGTCTGTTTCACAGAGAGTGCACCCTCCCAAAAAACTGTCCAGCCAGCCCATGTCTGTGCATCCTGGCATCTGTCAGTCCCGCTCAAACACCCTATGCTGAAAAAGAAGCTGTGGAAATGGCACATCAAAGTGGCGGTTGTGCTTGATGTTCAATCCAGTTCGGGCCGGATCAAAAGGCTGGTACTTCAGGGTGGGCATGCTGTTGGATTTCCCCAGTTGGGCTTGCCTGCCCATGCCACTGCGGGCTGTGGAGGCTGGCGAAATCATCGGGATTTGCCGGTCTGGCCTGCTGCCAGTTGTTGACTCAGCTGTGCGGCAAGCTGGTGGCAAATCGGCAGGCATTGCATACACTCGTCGGATCCTCTCAGCAGTCCCCTGGGTGCCACAATGGCCATTGCTCCCAATCTTCTTCAGCAAGCGGCCACCCTGACGATCGGTTGCCAAACTTTCCTTGAGAAAGGCTGACACTACAGCAGGATCAATCATTGACATGGCGTGGGGCTCTGTGGGTCACCAGCTACGCTACGAATGCTTTGAACCCGCAAAACATTCACACTGAAGTCTTGCACTGGCCATGCGTTCATAGACTGGGGCTGTTTTGCGCTGTTGAAGGTTGGAAACTAAAAACAATAAGTGCCCTGCTTTGTTGCGAGGTGCATGTTTCACAAATGGGCAAGGCAACACGGACTTGACGCGTGCAAACTTGCCGTTGGCCCCAACTACCTGAACATTGAATTGCTGCGGAGCTACGCCTGCAGCTGCGGGCGGCTGGGGCCGTTCATGCTGGCGGACCCGGGCCCGAGTAATTATTTCTGCATTCGCTGTGGTTGAGTTTTTGGGCCAAGCTCGGCCAAGCGTCGCAAGAATGACATATGGCGCATGCGACGAAGCGGAACTGCAATGTGCAAGAGGCCCGGCCCTGCTGCATTGTTTCAAGCCGGGTCGGTGTGACACGGCTACATCTCAAGAGAATGCACCCACAACAAAAAATCCGCCCCACAGCCATAAACGCTTCTGATGACTGTTCGCATAGGATTGCGCGGACAGAGCGCCATCCAACATACCCTAGACCATACTGCTGTTGTGGATCCTGTTGCAAAAGTTTCGCAATGCCTTGTTTTTGCTCAAACTTGGGCGCGTGACGCATTGCTTTTTTCGTACCAATTACTACGAGCGAAGATTCTCGCCGTGCACCTCGACTTCACCGCTTCAACCGCTTGCCTGCCCTCGCTGCCTAATTTTTTTCCTCTCTCAGAATTCAACGAGACTGTGCGAAGGCAAGCGGGCCATCGCAATTTTTGACAGGCATGAACGGGGTTGTCTAGGAAAGGCCTGTTTTCGCTTTCAACAACTGTGTTTGCTGAACTTTGTCCCGCCCAATGTTTTGGTGAAGAAGGAGGCTTTCAACACCTAACAACAAGTACTAGTTCTATTACTACTATTATTACTACTACTACTGCTGCTGCTGCTGCTACTACTACTACTACTACTACTACTACGACGACGACGCCTGTGGCCTGGGATTGGGGTCACGGGCCGCGGCAACGGGCGGACTTGGATTGGGTATGCGTGTGGGTTCGACTTGGCCTGCATCCGCATATGCGCACCGCGAGAATTCCGTTGCAAAAAGGTCGGGGGAAAAACTACGACGACGACTCCTACCCCTGCTCCAGCTCCTGCTCCTGCTCATGCTCCTACTCCTACTCCTACTCCTCCTCCTGCTATCTCCTGCTATCTCCTGCTACTACCACTACTGCTACTACTATTACTGCTACTACTACTACTACTACTAATACTATTACTACGACGACGATTAATATTACCACTACCACTACGACGGCGACTACTACTACCAGGTGGTCGTTACATAATTGATGGCAATGTTTTCCTCACCTCATATACGTCTTACAATGGTTTCGGACAAACTTTAGATTTTCTCGGAGGGGGGGGGGGGGCTAGAAGGCGTTTCCTCATTAGTCCAGAACTCGGCCCAGTGCCCAACCAAGCTCCAGTAGGCCGAAGGTTTAAGGAATTTTGAATTATTTGCTCATAAGTCCAAGATTTGACCGAGTAGACCAAGCTAAGTTCCAGCAGCCCAAGGATTTTAGGAGTTCTGAATTAGTTTTCCATTTTCCCATTAAGCTAAGATTCGGCCCAGTGGACCAAGCTACGGTACAGTAGTCCAAGGGCTTGAGGTCTTATCAGCTTTCACCAGTTGAAACCCGTACTTTTCCAGAGGATTTTGTCTTATATGTTTTTGCCGTTGAAGCTTCTATTGTACCTGAAGATGTTGATTTGGATGTTTTCGGAAGACGAAAGCCTTACTGCTCTTGAGGATTCTCTTCCTGCAAATTCTCTCAGTTTGAAGCCCCCACTTATCATGAGGACTTGCTGTTGAACGGCATTGGCGAGCCCATATACTGAGTCTAGGCGTAAAAATGCGCGTTCCCAACTTTTTGGATTTTGACGTATTGGGGTTCCAGTGTAAGTTTTGAGCACCTGGCGCCCTTAATTTTCCTGAAAAATTTGTCTTAGATGCCTTCAACAATTGAAACCCCATATGAGTTCCCTGTTTTCCCTCGGATTTTATACTATAAGGCACCCAGTACCATCTCGGATCCCCGCACCCTGAAACCCAAAGCCCGCATCCTCAACCCCAATGTCTTCCTAAAACGGCACGGCGCGACCCGGTTTTGGCGGCAAAGTACACACGCAGCGACGTGTCAGGAGTTGCTATCCACATTTCCATGCTTTACGCGCCAAACATATATGATGGTAGGTTTGTTGCGACTGGGTTACAAAAGACGTGGCCAAACCAGCACCTCTGCATGTTAGTTACTAGCCCTTGCCAAGGCGGCAAACTACTTTTTGTCGGCAACGACAACCCTCTTGCTCAAACACCATGAAACACCCCAATCATCGCTTCCATGGGCTCAATGAAAGCGGTCAGGTCAGGTCAGGTCAGGTCA